TCATAGCTCAACATAACCTCAAACTTCTGGGCTCTCTACCCAGGGGGATAGCTTGAGGCTCTGTCTCAAAAAAAAAAAAAAAAGACATCTTCCTTCTTCTGTTTAGTAATAAGTCTTCAATATAAATATTAAAACAGACTTATCTATAGCATTGTTCATTCTTGATATATGTCATTTTCTTTACTAAATTTGTTTCTGCTTTTTAAAAGTTACAGTGAATGGGTGCAAAACCTTATGTAGGGGTCTAGGTTTGATTTCCAATTAAAAGTCAGAAACTCAGTAAATGAGAAGATTCAAAAAGGCAGCACCATTGAGGTGTGTGATTCCTTTTCCTGTTTGGTAATCAGCACGTACTATTCCTTCCTCTTAAGAAAATCCTTAAGGTCTGTAATGACTTTAAGCATCAGATCCTTGATGACATATTTTTTAAAAGAAAAACAAATACTTCTTGGGGTTTGGCCTTACCCCTCCATCATGGCAGGCTCTTAGTATAAGAACAAAGTAGCACTTATTGTGTTAAGAAAAATACTTGTGGGCGGTACCTGTGGCTCAGTGGGTAGGACGCCAGCCCCATATACCTAGGTTAGCATGTTCGAACTCGCCTCGGCCAAACTGCAACAAAAAAAATAGCTAGGCATTGTGGCAGGCACCTGTAGTCCCAGCTACTTGGAAGGCTGAGACAAGAGAATCACCTAAGCCTAGGAGTTGGAGGTTGCTGTGAGCAGTGTGACACCACGACACTCTACCGAGGGCAATACAGTGAGACTCTGTCTCTTAAAAAAGAGAGAGAGAGAAGTACTTGTTATGATGTCAAGCTTTCCTTTGGTGATTATTCATCCATGTGAAAGATACAGCGTCATAGCTATAAGCTACTGGTTTAAAGTTCTTAGGACACATTCCACATAAATTTTAGTTAAACTTACCCAGTATTAATTGAGCAAGTTGGAAAGGAAGGAGGGTACCCTCTCTTCTATTCTAGAAGGAAACTTGAAAACCTTTGATTAGGGAAGGTATTTTGTGATAGATAAGAGCATAGATGCATGGGTCAACCTGGCTTGGAAGTAATGCATAGCTTAAACAGTGCTGGCTAACAGATTTGGTACAGCACATACCTATGAATTTGTATTGGATGGTGACTATTCTCACAGGGAGTGATAGTTTTTTAAAGATAATTTTAGAGGAAAAATTATATTGGTATAATTGGTATATTGCAGTGGTTGCCAAACTTAATTACATATCACAATCATGCAGAGAGCTTTTAAAACAAAATAGACTGTTAAGCCCTATTTCACAAGCCTCACGAATGGTCTAGGAACTTGTATTTTTTTGATAAACTTCTATTGGTTTTGATTTAGTTTGCTATCTGAACTGTACTTAAAAAGCACTGAAATTCAGTAAAATAATAAACAAAATACTATAAAGCATCAGAGGAAAAGATATCTTAAATTTATTCACTTATTTAACAAACATATCCAAGCATCTAACATATGCTAGGTATTATGTCATTTTCTAGAGCTACAAAGATGAATAAGACGTAATCCCTGTCCTGAAGCTCAGAGTCTAGTACAAGAGACGCTGGCAGGTAACTAAAACAGTGTGTTCAGCAAAATGGTAGAGATATGGAAAGTGTTACGGAAGCCAACAGAAGGAATACCAAACCTGCCCTGGTTGGTTTGGGGCCAGGAGGAAGGTAGGATCAGGAAAGCTAAGCTTTTTGGTAACTGATAACTTATTGAAATGGCTACATTTTTGTGTAACAGACAACTTACTCCTCATAACACCTTGTATTGTTGCTTTCATTGTTTTGCTTAGAATTCTTATTAAAATATATTACCCTTCCGTCCATTCTTAATTGGGACTCATGTAGTTTAAATCTTTTATTGATGATTTGGCATGATTACATAGGATCAATTATTTATGTCATATAGCAAAATAGTGATACTTTTTATTACAGAATACCATAGTAGTTTCCATCTCCAGAGTAGTTCCTAAATGCTATGACAATGCTATTCTTACGTTTCTGTCGTTTTGTCTTTGTTGTCAGACTGATAATTGTCTTCTTAACAACAGGGTGGCTGTCCATAGACTACCACATTTATATAAACTTCTTTGGCCAAAAAGATTTAGATAAAAAGTTTTGTGAATAAGTAAAAGTGTAAAGCATTCTGTTGAATATAGTATGTGAGTTTTAATACATTTTAAGACATCTATATTTTAACTACTGAGCTGTCTTGACTTTTTAAATTATTATATCAAAGCCAGTAGATAGTTTAGAAATCACATAATACAAGTCCTTTATTTTATAAGCAAAGAAACTGAGGCTTAAAGATGTTAAGGGTGATTACTGGCAATCAAGGAGTATAGTTTAGACCTGTGGTCCTAAGCCTGGGCTACAGGCCAGTATCCGTGGCCTGTTAGGAACCAGGCCACACAGCAGAAGGTGAGCAATACATGGGGAACAAAACTTCATCTGTGTTTACAACTGCTCCCCAACACTGATGTTACTGCCTGACCTCTGCCTCCTGTCACATCCCACCCCGCCCCCACCTACCCCACCCTCCAGTCCCACATGTGGAAAAATTGTCTGTAGCAGCCATGTTACATTGACAAGGACTAGTTCAATGGACAAAAGTTTGATGAAAATGAATTCAAAAGAGAATGTGAAGGAAAGAATTAGAGTGAAAATAGCTAGCCTCTTTGGAGGGCTTTTGCTGTGCAAAGGAAGAGAAAAGTGGCATGGTACCTGAAAGAGGACATGAGGTCAAGAGAAGGTTTGAGGGTATTTTGTTGTTGTTTTTTGTTTGTTTGTTTGTTTTTGTATTAAGATGGAAAACATTGTGCTATGTTTGTATGCTGAGAATAATCTGGAAAAGAATAAAAAATTGATGATATTAAAGTCAGAGGGGAGAAGGGGTGGAGCTGCATCTTTAAGTAAGAAAGTAGGGATGAGATCTCATGTTTAAGAGGAGAGTTTAGCCTCACAGACAGTGTCAGCCAAAGATAATAGCAGGAGGGAAAACAGATCATGTGGGCACAGTCGAAGGAGAGTGGATAGATATGGGAAGAGCAATTTGTAGTTCTTTTCTACTAGCTTTGTCCCAAGCAGCAAGGTTATTAGCTATGAGTAAGGATGAAGAAGAAAGATTAGAAGTTTCAAAGAGGAGAAAGTATGAAATAGTTATCTGGGAGAATAAAAGGGTAAATTGACTGTGGAAGTGATTGAAGGACAGCTCCAAAGGCACACTTAAATTTAAAAGAACATAGTCATCTTGAATTTATATTTTTGTGAGCTTCACATTCAGCCATCTGAGTTATAGACATGGAGTAGGGGAAAGGTGAATGTAACCAGGGTTGCAATTTTGTCAGATGAATACAATGTGAGCGGGGGCCAAAGGAGTGAGAATAGCGATGGATCATGGAATTTATGCTGAGTTAGGAAGGAAGTTAGGCTTTGGAAATGAAGGGGGAGCTGTGAAAGATGTTAGGATCAGTTAACTCTAGGGTTGCCTGGAGTCAAAGATTAATTATTAGAGTTCGAGTAGTAAAGAGGGTAAGCTTGAAAGGCAGGAGGTGGTGATCAGAGAGAGAATGAGTGCAGACGTGGAATCCAGTGCTTTAAACTGGAACCAGGGTGCTTATCAGTTTGTTTAGTGGCTGTAATAATTATTTTAATTGATTGATTTGTTAGGTTCATGACTACAAAGAAGGAACCCCAGAAGAGAAGACCTACTATATAGAATTATGGGATGTTGGAGGATCTGTGGGCAGTGCCAGCAGTGTGAAAAGCACAAGAGCAGTATTCTACAACTCTGTAAATGGTAAAGCACTTTTTAATTTCTCCCAGGTACTGATGGTTTAGGAGTATAGATCATCAGATAAGAAATCCTGTGTCATGCCAGGCTCATCTTAATTTGAGGAAGCTCTGATATAATCACCACTCTCCCAAACTGCATATCACATTTTAGTTTCTGTTTCTAGAGTCTAACCATGTAATTCAGAACATTAAACATCTGCTTTGTCTAAGTTTTTCTATTTAAATTATTATCATAAGCTAAATATTGAGAAATGAAATTGTATTTTGAATACTTGACATAAGCATGGAACTTTAAAAGCATTGTCCTTTGGGAGTTCTTTTTCTAAGTATGGTAGGACCATAGAAGTCCCATAGCCTTACATGAGTAAATTACAGTGATACAGAGATTTTTTCCTCTGCCGTATACAGTTGTAATGAGCTGTCTAAGGGTGTTTTTAGGGGTGTGGAAATTTTATTCATTTAAAGGTATTTAAATACTTGGAGTCAACTTCCAGATGGAGATGTATGATAGAGGACATTTCCATTCATAGGGTGCCTACTCTGTCTCAAGGAACAAAACCAGTGATTTGCCAGTAGAATTTCTTTTTATTATCTTCTCTTTTTTAAAATTCTTTTCTTTTTTGGAGACAGGAGTCTCACTTTGTCACCCTCAGTAGAGTGTCGTGGCATCCTAGCTCACAGCAGCCTCAAACTCTTGGGCTCAAGGGATCCTCTTGCCTCAGCCTCCTGAGTAGCTGGGAGTATAGGTACCTGTCACAACACTCTGCTATTTTTAGAGATGGGGGTATACTTTTGCTTAGGCTGGTCTTGAACTCCTGAGCTTAAGCAATCCACCTGCCTTGGCCTCCCAGAGTGCTAGGATTATAGGCATGAGCCGCTGTGCCCAGCTGCTAGGGTCACACCTCAGAGGGCAGGATCCTCTGTGACCTATGGAACTGGCTGTGATCAATGGAAGAAAAGTAAGTTAAAAGCAGGGACAAATACAAAGGTTACACAGAGTAGTTTTCAAAGGTGGGAAACATAGAGTACCACCACTAGCTTGTGGGGTTCCAGGGAATGGCCCTGAGTGTTCGTTCCACTCACCTTTTATTGAGGGCTATTATCTCATTTAGCCCAGAGGGTAGCTGAGGAAGGGAACAAAAACATCAGCAGTTTCTCTGAGTGAGCATTGTAGTTCTTATTCTATCTATAATCATTAACTTTAAGGGTTCCAGAAGCCTTAAGAAATCCAAAACTTGAGTCTTGTGTGGGGGCAGCCTCCTGTCTGTGATCATACACATAGATTCCTTGGGGGAGGTTAATCCCCTTTCGTTCTCTGTGGAGTAAACGCCATGGTGTCAGTCTCCTGAAGAATCAGTGGAACAAAGAAATTTTTCTCTAGTGTCTGACACAGAGGTATCTTCCTCTCTGATAAGGGTGTAGATGCTTCTGCCCATATTTCAGGGCTCAAGCTGTTCCCTTGATCTCTGCCATGGCCATAAAACAAATCCCCACAATGGGTATTTGCTTTGACTGTTGACTGGGCAGGGACAGCCTGGTTGATGTCCCCCCCACACACACCAGGCTTTGCATGCAGCTTCCTTCTACAGCCATTCTCTTCTTTAGAGTGTTTACAGACCCAGCAGGGGTGTTTGCAAGCTGTATTCCTTATAGGCTAGGCTTCTAGCAAAAGCAGGAACTGCTCAGTGAGGTAATTTAGCTGCTGCTTTAAAAGTAAACTACCTAAACTGTTTTTATTCTGCCTTGCTCAGCTTATTTCTCTGTTTTTTCCTTTTTCTGGGAGTGTTTTCCCTTGCCAAGAATGGGGTGTTCAGTCCCCATTCTGTCGACACCCGACCCTTTTTACTCATTTAAAAAAAAAATTTTTTTTTTTTGCTGTGAAATATAATTTCAACTTCTCTTTGAATAATATATCAAAAGATTTTTCATGGTCTCCCTTTCCTTCTGGTAAATGTGTCATCATTAATGGGACCTCATTATGCTATGTTTAGATCTCATTCAGTATTAGATAAACTTTGCATTTATTCAACATATTCATTCTTTATATTCCTCTTTCAGTATCTTCACATATGACGCAGTGTTGTAGATACTACAAAAACAAGTAGTGAAGGTTACTTTTCTTGAATACATATTACAGAATATAGGATGAGTTTTATCAATTCAGACCCATGTCCAATTTAGAGAACTTTATCTGAAAATGTCAGCATCTAACTGGAGAAGCAAAATGTTCTTAAATGAAACAAAACCTAATTATAATAATTATAAAATGATGACATTAATGTAAACCATCATGAAAGACAGTTTGTATAATGATGGCATATATTTATTGTATATAAATGAAAAAAACAGTAAGATAAGACTGGTATAGTGTGAAGTGAGTTCTTAGAGAAAAAGGGAGAAGGAAATGAAACCTGGTTTAGACTTAGACTCAGGTTATCAACTTTTATCAGTCAAGGGACTCGTCAAAGCAGATGTCAATATGATCTGTCCCAGGGAACTTTGGATATATAACATCTTTGCTGTCTAGATAGTTTTAAGACAGAGGTAGTATAAAAATTACAAATAAATAATGCAAATAAACAGCATCAAATCCTAGAAACTATGGAATTCTGGGTTGTATACTTGTAAATACTAAAAGAAGAAATCCATCCAAATCCATATTTATGGATTTTGCAGGGGTTTTGTAGGTTTTGCAGATAAGTGATAATATTTCTGTTTCTTTAAAAAAAAAAATCCTGTTTGTTGAAAAATCTATTTCTGTGTTTTAAATTTCACCCCATCTCCAGAACGTTTTTCCTGGCTTTACTCTATCTACCATCGTTAGTTTCCTAAGAAACAGAGCATAAGGATCCCTCTATTCAAAGGCATAGTCTTTATTCTTAGCAATAACTTTCTTCCCTCAGTACTTACCTTCTTCCCTTTCTTATGAGCTAGGCTGGTAATCTCAGAAGGAAATTATAAGTGTCTTGTCTTCTCTCCCTTAAGATTAAAACATTCTCATCAGCTGTCACCCTGACACCTTTCATCTGGGGCCCACCTTGGCTTTTCTAGCTCATATTCTACAAAGCAAGAGCTGTCAGCCAAAATGAAAGAGAAAAAATAAGGAAAAGGGGTGCCAAAATACCCTTAAAAGCTCACAGGCTTACCTAGATAGAGATCCTTAAAAATAAAATCCCCTCACCCATCTAATAACTAACCTAGGCCTTTGGAATTCTTTCACTTCTACATTCAAAGTCTCACCCATTGTTTTATAATATTTATAGCTGGGAAATAGGGAAGGGAGAAAACATCTGCCACTCCGGTGCCCTAAAATAAGATTTCATTCTGCTTTCCCCAAGTCTTTTACATTCAGATTACCTGAGTGCAAATTCTGGTTTATCACGTGGCCTAGGGCAAATTACTCAGAGCCTCGGTTTTCTCATGTGTATAAAGATAATAATTCTTACCTTATAGGACTGTTCTGAAAAATAAATTAAATAACAGATGTGAAGCATGATATATATAGCACATAAATATTAAACAAATACTAACTATATTCTTTAATGGTGGTAGCGTTTTATTCCTTTTTTTAAAAATTTATGCCATTGATGCCTCTTAGAACCCTTTATTATGGAAGGAAGCGTGAGTGCAGGTGGATACAAGGCCAAGTGTCATATCTCTGGTTGGTCCAGATGCCAGGAGAGATACAGGTTTGTTTGAGCTGGCTGGAACAAATTACATATAGGTTGTGTAGCACCTTGGTTACACAGATGGCTGTAAAAACTGTAGAAGCCAGTTAATTCTACCTCTGCTGCCCTTCTTTGTCAAACTGACATGTACCACATCTTGAAGATAGAGGAATCATCAGTTTTTCATGTCCTCTTTTTACAATCTGTGTAGTATAGCAAAGAGTTAGAAGTTTGAAACCTCTAGTCTTATGACCATAAGGTGACATCTTGAATTCTACTGGACATTAAAGCTTTTCTACTTTGGTGTATATCTTAGTGTGATAATTACCTGCTTTTCCCTTCTATCTAGGATCTTCATTGATTCTGTTCAATTGCGTTTCATTATATTTTGTTATTTTTTTCCACTCTCACAGAGTCCGTACATGTATTTTCTACTGATTCATACTTCTTGACGAAGTCTTCCTCTCTTCTATGGCATCTTTATCTGCTCAAACTAAATCACTTACAGGGAACAAGCTTGCATAGCTAACTATTAATCCAAGGAGCTAGAAAATTAGACATTTTAGTTGATTCGGCCCAGGTGATCTATAGGACAATGTTTTGTCAGCTAAAGAATAGGAATTGCATCAAATTAAATCAATACCCTTTTAATAAATTTTACCTATATACTGGTGTCTATGGCAGTACTATCTACAGTGAAGAAACAACATAATTTTTTTTTACTTTGAGACAAAGTCTCACTATGTCACCTTCAGTAGAATGCTGTGACATCACAGCTCACAGCAGCCTCAAACTCTTGGGCTTACGTGATGATTCTCTTGCCTGAGCCTCCCAAGTAGCTGGGATTACAGGCACCTGCCACAATGCTTACCTAAATATTTTTGTTGTTGTTGTTGCTGTTGTCATTGTTGTTTAGCTGGCCCGGGCTGGGTTCAAACCCACCAGCCTGGGTGTATGTGGCTGGTGCCCTACCCACTGAGCTATGGGTACCACGCAACATAATTTTTTTAATGAATATAATTTCTTACATACTTGAAGTTAGTTTGATTGATGAGGTGCTTCTGCAAGTAAGATTAGTTATAGAGTAGACAGGAAGTGTTAAATTAAGGAAAGATATTCTGAAAGTATAATGACAGTTTGTCAGCCCTTGTAAAAAATTTTTTTGAAGTTATATAACTGACAAAATTTTATAGTTATTATTTATAAGTATATGTAGAGGAAATTTTTAAATAATTGTTTCTGAGTTGGTTAGTCACTAGAATGGTAGATTCATTAAGCAACCAAATATTTGTATTTACTAAACTTCACTTTGCCAATTGTGAAGAGGAATTGTTTTAGTATTGATGTTATTTTCCCTGATTATTTTAGGTATTATTTTAGTGCACGACTTAACAAATAAGAAGTCATCTCAAAACTTGTATCGTTGGTCATCAGAAGCTCTCAACAGGGATTTGGTGCCAACTGGAGTCTTGGTGACAAACGGGTAAGCCCAGAATTATTTCTCAATGTTTTGAAATGTTATAGCAGTCGTAGGTATGTACTTTCCAAAATAACACTTTGTCTTTGATTTGCAAATATTTTCTCCTAGTCTATAGATTATCTTATCATTCTCTAAACAGTGTCTTTCACAAAGCAATGATTTTCATTTTTATAAAGTCTAAACTCTAATTCTTTTTATGGATTATGCTTTTGATATCATGTCTAAGAACTCTGCCTAATCTCAGACATCTCCAGTGACCAGCCTTCTATTCCTTGGCCATGTATTATTCATTGTATATTTTACTGTATTTTGATTTGAGAATATTGTTATGAGGATTTTATCTGTGTTCATGAGGGGTATTGGTATCTAGTTTTCCGATCTTCTAATGACTTTAGTGTGAAAATAATGTTGGCCTCATTAAATGAGTAGGAAATGTCCCTTCTTCTTGTTTTCTGAAAGAGATTGTATATACCTAGTGCTATTTCTTCTTTGGACATTTGGTAGAATTTATCAAAGAGACTGTCTGAACCTAGTGTTTTCTTACATGAAAGGTTTTTAATGACAACTTCAGTTTCTTTAATGATAAGACTATTCAAGTTATCTCTTTCACTCTGGGTGAGTTTTGGTAATTTGTGGGGTTTGTGGAATTCATCCATTTCATTTAAGTTGTTGAATATTGTCCTTCTGATATTTGTCCAGTCTGTGGTGATACCCCTTTCTCATCCTGATTTTTTTTTGCAGTTTTTGGCCAGGGCTGGGTTTGAACCCACCACCTCCAGCATCCCTACTCCTTTGAGCTACAGGTGCCACCCATCTCATCCTGATTTTTTTACTTTGTCTTCTCTTTGTTTTTTTGTCAGACTTCCTTGAGGCTTATCACTGTTATTGATCTTTTTCAAAGAAGTAGCTTTTGGTTCCATTGATTTTTTTT